CTGTAATGAAACATGGGGATGATGACCTTGGGGAAAAGGTAGAAGAAATGCTGCCCAGGAAGCAATCAGACAAGAGAAGCAGGAGCCCAGTGGCTTAATGGTCAGAGAGAAAAATTTTTTAGGAAGGAAGGACCCACTCTAGTTGATGAAACAAGTCAAAGTAGCAGCAGAAAGTTTATACTTTCAGACTTGCAAGATTCTACTAATGTAGCCTTACAATAAAAGTAGAAGTCGTGCATCTAGTCATGTTTCCTGTCTGGCTTACCTGGAAGGGCTGACATATTCCACCCTTCAGGCTGAAATTGTCCTGAAGACCAACGACTTTAACCATTTTGAAGACCTTGAGAATAGTTTAAGGGTGGAAATGTTCCGATCTATCTTCTATCTATTACAACTACTACACAACCATTAAAAGGTAAAGGTAAAGGTTCCCCTCACACATATGTGCTAGTCGTTTTCAGCTCTAGTGGGCGGTGCTCATCTCCGGTACAAAGCCGAAGAGCCAGCCCTGTCCAAAGACGTCTTTATGGTCATGTGGCCAGCATGACTAAATGCCAAAGGCGCACGGAATACTGTTACCTTCCCACCAAAGTGGTCCCTATTTTTCTACTTGCATTTTTATGTGCTTTCAAACTGCTAGGTTGGCAGAAGCTGGGACAAGTAATGGGAGCTCACTCCGTTATGCAGTGCTAGGGATTTGAACTGCTGAACTGCTGACCTTTCTGATCGACAAGCTCAGCGTCTTAGCCTCTGAGGCACCGTATTTACAAAGCCCAATCAGAATTGCTCAACCGAATTAAGGTGTCAAGTGACCTTGTTCTTATTTAGTTTTTTGAGACCTTGAGTACCTTGTTGATTCATACACCCTGACGTACCCTGTTGGGTATATGGATACACCAACTAGGTTTGGGTGACTAAATATATAAACCTAGGTTTAAGTGTTTGTAGCTTTAAGCACCAAACTGCAATGTAATTAGATAATTAAGGGTGCGGTTGCAAGCAGCAATAAGAAGCAGTGAGAGAAACGTAACACTTCCTGGTTACTGGTCACTGGTCTGGTCGCCGGTCTCTCTGCTGTCTGCTGCCTGCTGTTTACTCCTGTTTGAGACGTCTGCTTGTTATTGCTTGTTGGCTACTGTGCTGGATACCGTTTCTACTGAACAAAAGGACTGTTTACTTGGTGAGCTGATATCCTGCGAATACTCAGCGTTGTCTTCGAGAGAAAGGTATCGGAAGGAGCAGATAAAGACATTGTACTGACTAGTTAATGGACTAGGTTACTGGATGGATATATTGGATAATAACATATGGACTGAATGACACTGCTTAAACTCTAAATGAATTAAATAACTATTTAAAACTACAAACAGTGTTTTTGTCTCCGGTGTGTGTATACTCTTGGGCCCAGCCTCTCTCTCATTTGGCTGCCTGGCTTGACTGCTGCTGTGCACTCTGCTTGGGGGTTTGTCCCCAAACACTAACATACCCAATCCATTTGCCTTTAATTTGCAAGATTTTGGATTTTCCAAGTACCAGATTATTCTTTAATGCCACAAAAGCTGGGGAGAAATATGGGATGAAATGGAATCGGATTTTAAATTTGGGGAAAGAATAAAAAAGGCTACATAATGTTACTCAGATCAAGATGAGTCATTACCCAGAAAGGAAGTTACAGCCACCACTGAAGGGATGCATTGTATGGAACCTTGTGAAATCTAAACTCTGCATTTAAGTCTCAATGTGCTTGTTCATATTATTGGATTTTATATAGATAATAGCTAAGTGTGAGAAAGAGGGAAGCATCTTTATTTCATCTAATCTTTTTTCATATGGATTTGAACATTATGCTATGATATAGTTTGTTCTTTGTTCTTTTATTATTTGGACATATGTTCTTCTGGCCAATGAATCTCTAACATTCATACTTAGAAAACCTGAACATCTACAGTTGTGTATTGGAGCTGCCATATAGAAGGCTCAGGTAGGATTCATAATAGATTCCAGGATTTAAGGAATGATTATATCTGAATACAAAATGTCTTTCAAAATTATTAAAACCATGCTAATTTAGTTTCCCAAATAGGGCTACTAAAGTTTCCCAGCAAATCTCCTGCCAATGCCATTTATTCATTTTTCCCCCAGAAGTAGCTATTTCTCTTGGGGTGGGGTGCGGGTGATGACTTGATTCTCCCACAGTCTCATTGTGCATTTACAAAAGTCATTAGTGTTAATGTTAATGTTAATAACCAGGCTGAGATCCCAAACTGCCTTATTTAAAACTGTTCAAGAATTTCAGGGCACCAAATACAAAATGGGAGGAAGAAGGTATGTTGGATATGCTTGTTGCCTTGGGTTATTTGTAAAAATAATAAAGACAGGATACAAACAAACAAAATACAATGTTTTTTACATTCTATTTTCTTGGTCTATATTAGAACAATATTTGGCATCTACAATATTAACAAATTACCCCCTTTGCAGGGGATTAAAGACATGTAAGTTTTGTCTGTCTGTGTGTAGGTAGCATGACAGTGCAATCAAAGTTCCAAAGTTGTACATGCAAAACACATTAAAAACAGGCAAAGCTTCAATTGCTTCATCATAGCCAACTTCTTGACTGTTTAAATCATGCCCTGTGGATAATTCTGAGTTATATGTGGACAAGTTGCATTTTTTTAGAGCATAGAAAACTCTACACTGTGGCACTCCAAACTATTGACTGTAGCAAATTTCTAGTATGATAATGTTTGAGTACAGTTTGAATACCATAGATTGTTCAGATGGTCTTTTCTGGAAAAAAATACTGTAAAACTAGAAAACATTCAGAAAAGTGCACTGACCAAATGATTAAGGTCCCAGGGCAATTCCTATTTACAAAATTGGAAGCTTTTATTTTTCTCTTATATTAAGGAAATCCAATGAGAGGTAAAGTTACCCTTAGCTAGGTGTACTTAAGCTGAATTCAGATAACCAGGTGTCATGGATGTGGCATCAGCAGATTTCTTGCATCGATACAGACTGAATTGTAAGACTTTTGTGTTCCCTTCCTATTCTGTATCATGGCATGAGCCACATCTACAGAATCAGTGCAATGAAAGTAGAGTGAAGAAAAATTTTCTTTTTTACATGACTAGAACCCATGAGTGGTTCCATGAACTGGGTGGAAGATTCAAGGCCAGTTAAAAGGATGTGCTCTTTTATCCATGTCACAGACAGATTGCAGGATTCGCTTCCTTGAGGTGAAGTGAATAGCTGCCAGTTTTGCTGGCATTAAACAAAGTAGGGCCTTCTGTGGAGCGAGGCTATCCATTCTGGCTACAGATCAATTCAGTGTCCACTATGGTTTAATCTCTAGGATCTGCAGAACCAGAAAATTCAGCAAGAAGGGGCCTTTTTGATTCATATCCCTGTGGGTGGGTTTAAGTGGGAAGTAACAGGCAGCATGGAATGTTTTTTGGGACCGGTCTATTAGGGCAACCTGGTCTATCCCATAATGCTTGGGTCTTCAAACTTGGCAAGTTTAAGACTTGTGGACTTCAACTCCCAGAATTCCTCCATATTGGTTCAGGAATTCTGGGAGTTGAAGTCCACAAGTCTTAAACTTGCCAAGTTTGAAGACCCTTGCCATAAAAGGACAGAGCATATTGCTTCCGTTTTCACCTTTCAGCCCCACCCAGGGGCCTTCGCAGGCAGTCGCTTTTGCGACAAACTATTTTTGTGTCAAAATTTATGTTTTACCGACAAAGTCTTCCTTTATTTCTTTGTTGGTAAAACCTAAATTTAACAAGGGGCAGCATGATGTTGGGAGGCAGAGAGAGGGATGGGGTTGTAGGCTGTGAAGGGGGATACACGAATGCCCGAACCTCAACAAGCTGAGCAGCTGTCAGAGCCGAAGAGAGGGCCACCCTGAGTAATCCTATGAGCCAAGAGCAGAAAGAGTTAACGTGCTCCTTCCTCCTGGCTCTGAATAGCCTCTGACAGCTCAGGGTGACAGAGCTATTTAGGTCTTGTGGCTACTACCTGGGAGAATGCAAAGAGGAGGAGAGTCAGGAACTTCTGACTGCCGGTTGTCAGGCTCCATGCTGGATGCATGGATAAACTGGGTGATCCACCTCACCCTGCAGTGATCTTGCTGGGTAATTGTCAGTGATTCAGCTGCTCTGAAATTGCTCCGTTTAAAATGACACCTAACAAAGGAGACCTGGGCTTTTCTTCTGCTGCTTGCAGGGTGGGGGTGGGTGGGAGCTGTTTCAAAGGGTGGTTTGAAAGGTAACAGAAGTGGCTCCAGGACAGGGTAGGCACTAGCTGTCATCGCTTTGTAGTTAGGAAATGGCTGTGGAGCCCCTGTGCTTCATTCTTTAGATTTCAGCTATCCTCTTTATCATTATTTAGACTTTATCTTTGTCCTTTATTCTTTATCATTCTTTAGACTTTATCCTTTATTATCATTCTTAAGACGAGCTTCACTGGGATTCTGCTTTTCTGGGAAAACCTTATTCGGTGACTTTAATAAATACTTCTCATATTGCCTTCACTCCAGGGTGGGAGAACTTGTTGGCCTGGGATATCTGGGTGTCTGTGCACACTGTGTGTGGATTGTAGGTTTATTTCTTTTGCCTTGGGAGGACTGTAAATGCCCCCTAATACCTATCCTGCTCTCTTCTGTCTTGTACAGCAATCTCTGTCACACCCCTTTTCCACTTTCCAAAGAGAGTTTTCTATATCCCCTCTTTGCTTCTTCATTTCTTTTAACCATCCTCCTCCCCTCTGGAGTTCTGAGTCAATTTCTAGGCCTGCTCCTGGGAAAGGACCAGCTCCGGTTGCCAAGCAGAACTCCCTAAAAAATGACTGAGTCCCGTGATTATTTGCTGGCTGCTGCCATCTATTTCCCTCCTCCCTTACTCAACAGAGGAATCCACAGCTGTTCCAAACTGGGAGAGGAGAAGGAGGAGGCTGTTGGATGATGATGTCAGGACTCAGGGATACAAATAGGCAGAGTTCCGGCTGTCGTCCCAACTCTGTCTTCTCACCCAGAGCAGCTGCTGCCTTCCTGCCTGTCCCACTGAGCTGCCACCATGAGCTACTCCACCCAGAGGGTCTCCTCGTACCGCCGTACTTTTGGCGGGACAGCTGCCCCTTCCTTCCCATCCCCTTCTTTCCCAAGGGCTTCCTTCGGCACCAAGGGTTCTTCTGCCAGCTCTGTCTCCTCTCGGGTATACCAAGTGTCCCGTAGTGCCGCAGTGCCCACTCTTTCTAGCTTCCGCGCAAGCTACTCGGCCCCGCTGCGTTCGGCCTATCAAGGTGCCGGCGAGGTCCTTGACTTCTCTCTAGCTGATGCCATGAACCAGGAATTCCTGCAAACCCGTACGAATGAGAAGGTAGAGCTGCAGGAACTCAATGACCGCTTCGCCAATTACATTGAGAAGGTCCGTTTCCTGGAGCAGCAGAATGCCCTCATGGTGGCTGAAGTCAATCGACTCAAGGGCAAGGAGCCCACACGCATCGCTGAGATGTATGAGGAAGAGCTGAGGGAGCTGAGGCGCCAGGTGGAGCTGCTGACCAACCAGCGAGCGCGGGTGGATGTGGAGAGGGACAATCTGATAGATGATCTCCAGAAGCTGAAGCAGAGGTGAGACTGAGGCCCATGACTTGCTGCCATGTTGTTGTTGTTTTCTCTAAGCTCATCCCTCTTTATGTTGATCTGAAAATTTAAAGTTCCTTCCTAGTCATGAACAGGTACAACACTTACTTGAGCAGAGATGGAGGAAACAGGAAAGGGTAATGCAAATCACAGCCAGGGAGAGTAGTCTTCGAGCTTCCAAATAGCAATGGAAAATCTCTCCTATCCAATGCCATATTTGCCAGGCCCTCGGTAAACGGCACTGAGCAACTTTCACCTTGATGTTGCAAACTTCTTGTGCTCTAACCTGAAATTGCCATCATAATTAGTAAGAGATATTCTATCTCACTGGGCCCAACAAAATGTATTCTTTGAATAAGGCTCAGAATGGGTCCAGTGATGTTCCTTTCCATCTTTAGAAACTGAAGAAAGCTTTTGAGAGTTAAAACGATTCATCCTGAAGAGAAAGGCTAGCACAGTATTTAAGTATGCTGAGAAAATATTTGTGAGGTTTATTTTGGCACAGGGATATGTGCTGGTTCAGAAATCAGTAGTAAGATCACCAATCCCTGCCTTTTTAGAAAAATTGGATTAAAAGACTAAATTATACTTGTCAAATACCTTGTTTGGATTTGGACCTCATGGAAAATCACACATGTAATTTTATTTATGCAGGGAGTGGATGATTCTTCCTTATCAAACACCGGCATTTGGTTCTAATGAGGAGTATCTTTAGTTTAATTCCATCGTAGTTAGGTCTGCTTTTTCCTTTTCAGTTGCACAGGGGATGAAGTAGGGTGGGAGGGGTAATATTCTAAACAATTGTTTGCAAATTCTTGTCAGATCAACTCTTGACTTATTATGGTAGGGTGAGGATGACTTACGGTTGCCTCTTTCCATGAGGTAGCTCTGATTTTTTCCCCAGCATGATGCAAATCGTCTATTTATGTCCCAACTAAGTCCCTGACTAGTTCAGGATATGTGTGCCACAAGCCTATGATGATGATCTATTTCTAGGAGTTTTTAAAGACTTGAAATAAAGAAAAATGATATCCTGAAGATTAGAAAGAGGGTGGATTTAAAACTTTTTAAATTAATTAGTTCCATGTGAGAGCCCGAAACCAATTTCCTTCTGGGGTTGCACATTAAATATATCAGTGGTTTAATAATAAAATCACTCTTCTACATTGCCTTCGTCATTTAAAAAAAAAAAGTATATTAAAGAGCTGATGCAGATGCAGGTTACAAGATATCATATTATCCAGCGCATCTTCCAAGTCTATAAATCTTTCTTCCAGAACTTCTCTTCTAGTCATGAGGGGGGGAGGGAAATCCAGTTTCAGTTTATTAGGAAAAGTAATTGCCAGGAAGTCATCCGATGTTGGTCTTCACTGTATGTCAGCAAATTCTTCATAACCTCCCACAGTTTGTACCAGTATAGTTACAGCTTTTGCAGTCCTAAAGATCATCCCTTGGCTTGACTGACGTAATAGCTGGGTTCATAAATCATGCTAAGTCATGGTTTCCTTTCTCTGGAGGGTTCAGTAGGGTTCACATAGGATGTGCCGGCCACACCTCATACTAGCAATGGAACAGGTTAATCTGCTAGAACAATAGGAGAGAGAGATGAAAATCGTTCAACAATTCGGAGAAAAACTGGGCTATTCATTAAGAGGGTTTCTGGAAGGATAATCCTTAGGCTCTTACTCTGTGGCCAATCCTCTTGGAGGCTTTCTCTTTACCTCCAGATTTAACCCACTTGTGATTGACAGGGCACAAGTGGATCCTGTCAGAAGAATGCAACAGCCAAAGAGTTTGTTGATAGGAAGTGCCTATAGATAAGAGAAGGGAAATTCAGACAAAGAAATCCAGGGGCCAAAGGCTTTCAACCAGATATTTATTTTATTTATTAATTAAATTTGGAACAACACCCCCCCAATCTCATTATCCAATGTGATCCTGAGTAGCTTACAGTACAATAAAAACATAAATATATTATTTGAATGATCTCCTGGAACTGTGAGCAGATATGCACTGAATTTGGGAATCACCATTTTACTTGTTGGTTCTTTATAGCGTATGCCAGCTGTGATCTTTGGTCTCAGTGTTTATGCTATGGAGAAGCAAAAAAGAACTTCCTTTCCAGTTTGGACGGTAGCAAATTGAAGGTCCCAGAGTTATAGCAACATAGCAAATAGTATCACTTGTCCATTTCTTGTGCTCTTTCCCACGAAACCACATAAAAAGAAATGGAAGTGGCTACCAAACAGCCTTTCTTAACTTGGGGACCTTAAGATCTGGGTAACCGTGTCCCCCAACATCCACGCCAACATCAGGAGGCACAAGACAGGGGCAAGTTGATGCAAGAGTTCCTATACAGAAGACTGCCTCTGCAAGCCTTCTGCCAGCAGGTGACAACAGCTGGAACTAACAACTGTTGTAATTGTAGGTTCCTGTCTGGATTAAGATGTCAGAAATTTGGACAATATAGAACTGTAAGGTTTGTGGGTGCTGCGTTTATAAACACAAAAATACACAAATATGGGTACGTAGTTGAGAATATGGAAACTAGAACTCCAGGGCCTTGATTCACTAACTTTAGTGTCCAAATCCAGAAGCTGAGCCTTTCCCAATCTCAAACGCCACAGAAATATTAGATTACAGTTTCAATTTATTCAGCCCCGAGGAACAATAATTGTCCTGGCTGATTGTGATAAGACTTTATAATCCCAAATTCTGAATATCTTCTGTGTGAAGGGTGAGGGGTGGGGTGGGGAAATGGACTTGGGTGATGCTACACTAATCCCATGTCAAAGTATCTAGAAGACCGATCCTGAATTTCAGCATCCTGGTAGCCTTCCACCTGTCTCCCAACACCTCATGTATCTTTCATATTGGGTCATCTCCAGAATCCCAGTCATCCCAAGAGTTTTCATGCTGTTTCTTTGCATGTCTCTGGCTCTTGCTCCAGCTTTTCTCGTTAGAGCAAAGCTGTGCTACCCTAAAAGGGAAGGGGAAGTAAGCATTATCCATCAGTGAGCTCATGCCTTTGTGCTTAAGGCTTTGACTAAAACAGGCAATGAGAGGACATGTTCTTGCTCCATTCCAGGCCTGGCCACCAGCCAGATCCCACCCCTTCCCCTTGGAATGTAGGAGAATTGTCCGTTCCTGATGGATATCTTACTAGAGTGGCTTGGGAGTGTGTCAGAGGTTTAGGGTGAAGTGCTGCCCTTGACTTCTAAAGCATGAGAAAGGCAATGCTGTATATATAGACCATTGAGTGATTTATCCAGTCTGCCCAAGGCTCATTTTTCTGCGCTTTTTCAAAGGTTGCAAGAGGAGATTCATCTTAAAGAAGAAGCAGAAAACAACCTCGCTGCTTTCAGAGCTGTAAGTCCAAATGTTTCCTCCAGTGTGTCTGGGAAAATGAAGGAAAGATCCGTGAAATAGCACAAAGGGAATATCACTTGGCATACTTAAAGGTGCATGCTCAGCTTTCTTTTGCCACTTGGTTCCTGAGATGACATACTGTGTGTGTCTCCCACTCCGCCACCTGTTAGCGTTTTCTCAGATCTTTTCCAAAGTGGTAGACCAGGAGTGTCAAACTCATGTCATTATGGTGGGGGTCACATGACATATCAGGACTTTTCCCCCCCTACGCTAAACCAGGCGTGGGTGTGGCCAGCATGTGACCCGTGGGACACGGGTTTGACAGCCCTGTGGTAGACAATTGTTATTTGGATTTCAAAATATAAGGACTTATTAGGATTGTGGTTAAGACAAGATTTCTGGAGAACATCAAGTTGCCAGCCTTCTATAGCCCCTTTTGAATAATTGCAACGGCTCCTACTCTTTTGTCTATATAACAGTGTGCAACCTAGGTACATACCAGTGGTGGGATTCAAATATTTTTTACTTCCGGTTCTGTGGGCGTGGCTTGGTGGGCGTGGCAGGGGAAGGATACTGTAAAATCTCCATTCCCTCCCAATTCCTGGGGGAAGGTTACTGTAAAATCCCATTCCCTCCCCACCCCACTACCCTGCTTTCCAGCTCCGTTCTCAAAAGAAGACCCAGCCAATCAGCTGGGACTCGGGAGGCAGAGAATAGATGGGGGCGGGCCCAGTCAGAGGTGATATTTGCCGGTTCTCCAAACTACTCAAATTTTCTGCTACTGGTTCTCCAGAACTGGTCAGAACCTGCTGAATATCCCCTCTGGTACATATGAACTTTATCGTGTCACTAGAATATTTAAAATATTCTAAATGGTGTGATGTTTTGAGTCATTTGTAATAGGATCTGTATGCCACAGAGAGTAGTTTAAGTGCTCCTTCAGGGATACATACAATACAATGGAGCAGCACTTACCCTGCATTTCAAGGCACTTGGAATTGAGATTCAGGCAACTGCCCTGCCATTGTCAGGGTTGCCAGAATCTGGAGTGATGTTAGAAAATGTTAGTAGCCCTTTTGTTCAAGGATCATGTGAATTGGTTCAGCTGGGGTCCTTCCCACTCATTTCCTGGGCTTCCAGAACTTCCAGTATTGTTTTCATTGGCCAGATTCCCAGATGATGTCAGTCAAAAATCAGAGGGGGTGGGGGCACAACCTCTCCGCCTTTTCAGGAGCACACAGTTAAATGGAAGTTAAGATCATTTTCCCTATTCAGTGAAGTTGTGCTCTTTTAGTGAAGGCCAACCTCTTGGGTCTATTATTATTGCTGAGGTCATGCTCCTCTTTTCTCCCCTGTTACAGGATGTTGATGCAGCCACTCTGGCCCGTATTGACTTAGAGAGGCGTATCGAATCATTGCAGGAAGAAATTGCTTTCCTCAAAAAAGTGCATGAAGAAGTAAGCAGCTGTCTTGTACATGTGTCCTTGTACTTCTCAAAGCGATGGCTTGTAGAATGGAAGGAGGGCTGAGGCTGTTGAAGGGGGTGAGTGAGGACCAAGCCCAGAATTTAAGCTATAGCAGCAGCTTTAATTGGAGAAAAAAAAGAAGGAAGATGATATCCAGTATCAAAGGTTTCATATCACCAGGCAAGCTTCTCCTGCTAGTTTGCTTCAGGACTTTTTTCCCCTTCGCTAAACCAGGCCTGGGCGTGGCCAGCAAGTGACGCATTTGGCCCATGGGCCACGAGCTTGACAGCCCTGCGGTAGACAATTGTTATTTGGATTTCAAAATATAAGGAATTATTCGGATTATAGTTAAGACAAGATTTCCGGAGAACATCAAGCCTTCTCCTGCTAGTTTGCATCACACTTCGGTATAGCGGCACAAAGTTTCCTAACATGTTGGGCAAACCCTACCAAAGCATGATGTAAACCAAGCTAGTGTTATTAGTTTGGGGTTCTGTAAGAGGTGGGGCCTATGGAGCCAGAGCTGGTGTGATGGGCTGGAGTGAAGGAGCAGTCTCCCAGGAAGGAGGGAGCACATTTCAAAAAGGGTGTTGATAAGGAGACAAAAAGCAGGCCAGCCTGGAGCTGGATGGGAGTAAGGCTAGCCACTTGCTAGAATCTCCCAGGGTGTATCAATTATGGAGAAAGTAGTAAGGGCTTAGTCTGTCAAGATTCTTTCTATTATGTGTAAGTAAATAAAGAAGTGAACTCTGGTTGAATGTCCTTCTTAGGTTTAGCCTGATAGCTTCAATGTGTTGTATGAACTCAGAGAACTGGCTTAATTTAGTAACCCAATGGTTTAATCCACCATAGATTAGTGCGTCGTGTGAAATAGCGTATAACTTTCTGAAAGATCAGGTTGGAGAAGGTCTTGTCACAACTGAAAGGTTTCTTTTGCAGTTCAATGGTTCTCAAAATTTTTGAGAACAAGGAGCCTAACCAGTATCGATTAGGGAAGGTGGTTCGTAAGCCTCTCCCTACTGCATTGGCCTAATGGTACACTCTTTGTAACTTCTCCAGGAAATTAGAGAATTGCAATCCCAGCTGCAGGAACAGCAAATCCAGGTGGAGATGGACGTGTCAAAGCCGGATCTGACCGCCGCACTGCGTGACATCCGTGCCCAGTATGAGAACATCGCTGCAAAGAACATATCAGAAGCAGAGGAATGGTACAAGTCCAAGGTAGGGAGAAAGAGCAGCAGCACTTGGCTAAAAGACTGGGGGGTGACTGGGGTTAGTTTTCACTTTTCGTGGGATTTGCTCGTATTCATCCGCATTTGTGCTTTATCTGCTCCCCCCCGCTCTACGTACAGGTGTCTGACCTGACTCAGGCAGCAAATAAAAACAACGATGCCATTCGCCAAGCCAAGCAGGAGATGATGGAGTACCGGCATCAAATCCAATCATTCACCTGTGAGATTGATGCGCTCAAGGGCACGGTGAGTGAGCTGCCACGCCTGATTAATCATGGAGTCAAATTCAGAATGCTGGACTTTGCATTGAACCATTTTAGGGAGGAGCGTTTTTCCTCTTCCCTGGGCTCATTGATAACAAATGCAAGGGAAGCACAGAGGAAGCAAACTGCCCAGGGAATGGGCAGCTGTAGTTTTGCACAGCTGTCAGATGGAAAGGCCATTCATAATCTCTGAGGGAGATTGACAGAAGATCTGTTTCATATAGAGGAAGTTCCATGGCCAGCTGAAGATCCTCATGTAGGCTGCCTGGTAAAATCTCAAGTTCTGATCAACAATCTCTTATGTCCCTTGAATGGACAGGAAGGGGTGGGGGGTGGGGGTATTTTTATATTCAATTTAAAAGTGGGGCGGGGGGAAGGCTACAAAAACTCCTCCTTTCTTTCTCCTCACTGCTTTCCCTCTTTGGACTTCCAGAATGACTCTCTGATGAGGCAGATGAGGGAGATGGAGGAGCGCTTTGCCGGCGAGGCCAGCAATTACCAGGACACAATCCAGAGGCTTGAAGAGGAGATCAGGCATTTGAAGGATGAGATGGCACGGCACCTGCGCGAATACCAGGACCTGCTCAATGTCAAGATGGCCCTTGATGTTGAGATTGCCACTTACCGCAAGCTGCTGGAGGGTGAAGAGAGCAGGTGAGCGCTATCTGCAAGACTACGTGCCTTGTGAAGGTAGCTGCTTAAGTCCATTAAGGTTGATAGATGGTTTGTCTGGGGTGGGTTTTGCTCTGATGGAATAACAGCAGTTTTTTACGCTGGTTGGGAAGCCTTAGTCCAGAGGTCTCCAAACTTGGCAACTTTAAGACTTCTGGGAGAATTCTGGGAGTTGAAGTCCACAAGTCTTAAAGTTGCTAAGTTTGGGCACCCCTTCCTTAGTCTGTCATTGCCACACAATATTCTACTGGGACTGAGTTCAGACACCTCACGAGGCCAAAAAGTGGCTTTCTTGGTTTGGTTTATTGTGAGCATTCAACCGTTGCTATGGCTTTGTGTGTTGAACCTAGCCTGTTTTAGCCACATTTATTGTGTGTTGAACCTAGCCTGTTCATCTCATTAGTAAAAGAGATGTGGCTTATCACACTATCTGAACTCTGCCTTTGTGCTTGGTGGCAGCAAAAGAATAACGAAGAAGGAAATGCGCCCTTCTGTTGTGACAGTTAGGAAAGAAATAAACCAATGAATCTCTTGCAGTCAAATGTTATTTTTTTCTTTTGGCTGAGCAGTTTGGACTAGTGGGATTTACGTTTTGCGATAATGCTGAATTCGCGTCAAGACACAATTTTAGAATTACAACAAGAAGACTGGAAACAACACTTCAGTATGCGAGCCAGAAGAATATAATTAGTTCAAATTTAAGTAGTTTTTTTTTTAAAGGACCATAAGGGATAATGATGATTGTTGGCAAGGGAGGCTGCTGTAAAACACAGGAAATCTGAAAGCAGAAAAGAACAGACAAGGTTATTTTAACCTCCCTTTCCCTTCCTTTCTTTACAGAATTTCACTGCCCATTCAAACTTTTTCAGCCATCAACTTCCGAGGTAAGTGACGTGGATCTGGTCTACGTGCTTAAAGGGATCTGTGGGCATGCAAATCACGTTTGTAATGTTAAAGATGGAACAGAAACGGAAGAAAGGCCAAACCTGAGGTTCCCTTTAGAATGGTGATTCAAATGAGGATGGAATTAGGTGTTTCGTGTCTGTCATAATCTGTTCTGCTTACTCCTGAATAAAATGTTTTTGGAAAGAAAATGGGGTTTTAGAGGATGACGTTTATAGGAAGGGGAGAAAGAGGTTGCTTTTCAACTAAAGATGGTGCCCTTCCCTTTATTTATTTACATTATTTATCAAATTTAGAAACTGCCCGTCTCACTCACAGAGCCGCTCTCTGAGACCATACCTCTCCCTCCTGCCTCCCTGCCTCTCCGACTTTCCTCCTTGCCCTGGAGTTCCTGAAATGGGCCCGTAATGACAAATGTATCCCAAACCCTACAACTGCAAGGAGGAAGGCTCAGACGAAGGAAGGATTATACATTCCCAGACTACCTTCCACTCCAAACTAGTCTGACCTAAAGCTGTTTTTCTCTACAGGGGTGAGGGTAGGGATTGGTACCAGGCATAATATGTACTTCTATCCAGAAATGTATAAGTGAGCTGAATGAGCCCATCTCTCAAGTTTCTTTCTAACATGGATGAGACAATATAAACAGAGACTACTGTATTAAGAAATGCAGCACGGTGAATACTGTAAACATACATGCCACTAACAAAACCAAACAGGACAGCTGCCGCTTTCTCAGCATTGCATCAAAACGAGAATAAACTCTCTCTCTCTTCTGCCCCAAAAGAATCTTATAAAGGCTAAAAGATAAGCTTAAATAGTATAGCTGCGGTAATTCTAGTTCTGAGTTCAAGCTCTGCCTTGATGCTGTGGCCCAATTGAGTAGAACTGAAGAAGAGCTTGGAAGATCATTTTACTTTGGCCTAAATGCTCACCGCGTTTCACAGACTGTTCAGTCAGGTTGACAAGAGCCGGTGTGGTGTGCGTGGTGTCAGGGACATGAAGTGAACGTGGTACCCATCTACTCTTAAGTCTTGGTGTGAGCAAGAGATGGAGAACAGTGAGCCTGGGAGAAAACATCCCCAGCCACAGAGGAAATTCTCCAGATGCCGTTTTCTCCCATGAAGCGCAGCCCAGAGTCCACCCATTATCAACTCATGCCTCTTTCTGTCCTACAGAGACCAGCCCAGAGCAGAGGAGCTCTGAGGTCCATACCAAAAAAACAGTGACCATCAAAACCATCGAGACACGTGATGGGGAGGTAAGCTGACAGTGGGCATTGATGAAAATCAGAAGGGTTAGCAACACGGCTGCCCAATAGAAAACCCCAGGAAAAATAAATAAAGCTAGTCTTGAATTTGTTAGAGTCTGCAGCAGAAATTGCAATCCAGAAAGTACACACAGATGACTGGTTCATTAACTTCTTTATATACATATAACACATAATTATGTAAAAGTACAATACCACTGTAGGTTCTTTCATCGTGGTAGAGAGTTACAGGCAAAAACACAAGTAGATGAGAGAACAGCAGAGAACAGTTTCCCTTTCGATTCAGACAGTTGCAGACAAGCCTGCAGCTTCAAAGCTCAGAGCTTAATATAGAGCCACGCCTAGGCTCCTTCCAGTTTCAGTTTCCAAACAGCCCTCATTGGCCGACTTAGTTGCTATTCATCGGCTGACCTTGTCACCATGCCTCTGCCAGTTCATGAATATTTTGACGCCTTATTATTGTGGAGCAGGGAGAACAGTTCTGAGAACAGCTCGCCCTCTTGGTGTCAGATTTACTGACAGGCGGGATTCAAAAATCCCAGCAACCGGTTCACTGCCCAGTTGCTCGGTGGGCATGGCCGTGATGGGCGTGGCTCCTGGGAGGGGTGGGTGGGGCCAGACAGTCATTTGAAATACTGGTTCGGCGAACCAGATGGAAACTTAGCATCCAGTTTGCCCAAACTGGTCCAAACTGGTAGAATCCCACCCCTGCTTACTGAGAATAAGGAACGGGAGATGCACCTGAAGGAACATAGCTGGATGTAGCTGTCTTCCTTTTTCTTCTGTCCCTACAAAGCAGAAATAGGGAAGCCACTGGTGGGAACGAGCAAAGGCCCCACCTGATTGGCAGAAGGCCCAGGAGGGTGGGACTTAGGGCTTTCCTTAACAGAAGTCTCTGTTTTTCTCCAGGTGGTCAGCGAAGCCATGCAGCAACATAATGAAATGATGTAGGTCTTGTAACTCCCAGAGCGACTTGGCCCATCTCAACCCTCTCCTTCTCGTGTGCAAAAAACCAGGGGATGCCGGTTCCCACACCTTCTCCCGCACACCCCTTTTGTAAGAGCATCGCTGGAGAACCTCACCCGCTCAACTGAATGTACAAGAAGCCTTCTGTTCCCCCAAGCCTCTCTCCTTCGGCTCCCTTTCTCCTCTTCCTTTTCTTTTCTTTTCGTTCTTTCCTTTTCCTGCCCTTTGGCAGGAGGAGGGCAGAAAGAGAGGTGCAGCTCTGTGTGTATGTGCGTGCGTGCGTGCATGTGCAGTGCGTGTGTATGGGCATGGGTTTGAGGTGAGGCTTCCTGCCCCTGTACGGGGTCTGGCCGTTGCCTGAAAAGGGAACTCTCGCCTGCCTTTACATGGGCACACGTGCCCCGAGCCACGTACGTGTGTGCTCTGATAAGTCATGTGCAGCGACAACCCCAACCCGAGTGTGGGTCCCTGCCCCTTCTGGGTCCTTCTGCTGCAGCGGTAATGAGAGCTACCTGCAGGCCGTGCGAAGACAGAGGAAAGGGGAGGACGTGTGAGCCTAGGCCAGAGAATGAGGCTGAGTCACCTGCCCAGTCTTGCCTCCGGGACCAAAGCCACAGGGTTGCCCCTACCCTCAAGGGAGCAGGACTCCTTTCTGCTTGTGGGTGGGTGATGCTTGCATCTCTAAGCTCGGCGATTGCCCCTGTCCCTTTTGCTATGCTACTGAAGCTCTGTTGGGCAAGGTTTTCCCCCTGCCCGTCTTGGGGGTTTCCTACAAGTGTAGGCTAGGGTGCTAGGGAAATTAGGATCTCTAAAGGAGAAAGTGAACGAGGCCTCTTAGAGTAGAAGATTTGGGCCCAGAAGGGGACGGGACCTCCCACATTCCTGCTGCGAAGTGAAGCTCCTGATTTGGGAGGTGGGATAGAAAGGCCACCAGGGACAGGAACAAGATGCCAGGGGGCAGCACATCCCCTAGGGCAAGCTTCTCTGCCTGGGGGATGATCCCTTTTTGCCGCGTCCCAAATCCGTCCCGCAGGGACTGCCGAAAGGCCTGCAAAAGATGGTGTAGAAGAGAAGAGGAAGGGACTGATGGAGAGCGCGAGCGAAGAACAGATTGTAACTGTGCATGAATGGAGAGAGAGGACATGGAGAGAAAGTGAATACTCCTAGCCCTACACTCCCCCCCCCTCCCCAACACGTACTGGTCCTGCAAAGAGATAAATAAACTATGCAGCACAAAACTGACTGTGTGTGTATGTTCGTCCTTTGCTGGCTCTGGCAGAGTAAATCTGATTCAATTTAATCACACATTGAGGAGAAGGAGAAAGGAAGATAAGAAGGAGAAAGGAGAAGGGGATTCTATCTGGTTCCAAGAGATTTATATGCTTTGTATAGCAGAGGCATTTCTAACGTGTCCTGCTTCTCTACCATTTTGGTTAAGGTGACTGTTGTAGTTGAGCAATGAGAGGCTGAACCAGGGCATGGGTGCAACAATACTTTATTAGAATAATAAAGGACTGAACGTGCTTGCCAAGCCTGGAACTGGCTCGCAGCGATCAGCGACTGGTTGAACCCCGCAGCCTGCTTTTATAGCCGGCTGCTGGGGGAAACCAGCCAATGAGGGACAGCAAACGCCCCCGCAGCGTGAGCGGACCTGGGTGGGAACTCTTGCAAGTTCCAGGGACATAACACCCCTTCCCCCCAGATGCGAACACGCATAGTCATTTAAATAAGCGGGTGGTCTGTGCTGGCGCCCTGAACGGCGCAATTCAGGTGGGTTGTCAAGTAACTCCGAGTCTGTAGCGGAAGGTTGGACCGGTGGGGAATCGCGAACTTGCTCATCGGTCTGCGTTGGTTCGGGAGTCGTAGAGCTGGTCGATGGAGGTGCGTCTTCATCTGCTGATTCGGGTTGGTCGGTCATCAGACGGTCCCGGTCCATGTCCAGACTCCCCGGCTCGGCTGGAGGTGGTGACGGGTCACTGGTGCTGGTGTTGATGTATGGTTGATGCATCGGCCTTGGACTGATCTGCGCCCAAGCGTCAACGTTGGCATAGGTACCGTGGCGCCTCCGTAGCTGGTCCAGGTGCCTTTTCCAGATGCGGCCATCCTCCAGTCTGACTCGGTACGACCTGGGGCCAGTGATGGCCACGACCTCTCCTGGGATCCACAAGGGGTCTCCAGCGTAGTTCCTTGCGAACACAGGTTCCTGTAAGACAAAATGTCTAACCCCCGACGTTGAAGCGAGGGGAGAGTCAGGGTAGTAATTAGGGTGAAGCCTGTCCAGCACTGTTCGCAGGCGTCTACCCATCAGGAGTTCAGCCGGTGATTTATTGGTGACTGTGCACGGGGTTGAGTGCTGGCTCAGCAAGAAACGGGAGAGTCTGTGGTGCCAGTCTTCCTTGCTGAACCTTGCTAATGCTTCTTTAGTGGTCCTAACGGCTCTCTCTGCCAAACCGTTGCTGGCAGGATGAAAGGGAGCCGTGAAGATGTGGCGGATGCCCAGGTTAGCGGCGAAACGACTGAACTCAGCTGAGGCAAACTGGGGGCCATTGTCGGAAACAATAGAGTCTGGTAACCCGTGTGTTACGAACAGGCGGGTCAACGCCTTAGTAACTGCTTGTGTGGTGGTCGTGGATAGTTGGGCCACATCAATCCACTTTGAGTAAGAATCCACGACCACCAAGAACATTTTGCCGTGAATCGGGCCCGCCAAGTCAATGTGAATCCTGGACCAAGGTGCGCTGGCGCTTTCCCACTTTGTGGGGGAGGCGATTGGAGGGGATGGTCGGGATTCTTGGCAGGGATGGCAAGAGCTTACCCATCTGATGATGTCATCGTCGAGGCCTGGCCACCAGACGTAGCTGCGTGCCAACGCCTTCATCCTGATGATGCCAGGGTGGCCCTCGTGTAATGCCTCCAAGACTCGGGTGCGAAGTGAGGTCGGGATGACCACTCGGGTGCCCCACAGCAAACAGCCCTGCAAACTCGATAACTCCTGTTGACGGGTCTTAAAAGGCGTGAATTTGGTTTCAATGTTATTTCCCGGCCACCCCCTCCCCACCCAGTCCAGTACCTGGGCGATCGTTTTGTCTGCCTTGGATTTGGAGGCGATGTCAAGGGCAGTGATGGGAAGGTCAAGCTGGGTGACCTCGAAGATAGCGTGGACCGGGGCAGGGTCTTCAGCTGGAGCAGGCAGGGGGCAGCGGCTGAGGGCGTCTGCGTGGGATAATGTTTTTCCTGGACGGTGTATGAGTTTATACGAGTACGCTGCTAGGAAAAGGGTCCACCTCGTCATCCTGGGAGACAGCACTTGGGGAGTCTGTTTGTCTCCTGCTAGGAGACCCAGGAGAGGCTTGTGATCCGTGACTAGCTCGAAAAAGTGGCCAAAAAGAAATTCATGAAATTTCTTCACTGCTGCGACAGCTGCTAAAGCTTCCTTATCGATTTGACTGTAATTGCGCTCTGTTGCAGAGAGCGTCCTGGAAAAGAAGGCGATGGGGGCCTCGGAGCCATTGGGGAGCCTGTGGCTTAACACTGCCCCAATTCCAAAAGGGGATGCGTCAGCTGCCAGTACTAATGGAAGGTTAGGGTCAAATTGAATAAGGACTGCATCTGAAGTGAGTAGTGACTTGATTGCGCGAAAAGCGGTGTCTTCCTTGTGTCCCCAGTGCCAAGATGATTTTTTATCCAAAAGTCTGTGCAGGGGTTCTGCCACTGATGCTTTGTGGGGCAGGAATGATGCGTAAAAATTCAATAATCCCAAAAAGGCCTGCAGCTCTGCTTTGGAGGTTGGTGTGGGTGCCTCATGAATTGCCTTAACCTTGGACTCCAGGGGGTGAATGCCTGAGGCGTCAATTTTATAACCCAGAAAGTCCACCTGTCTAGTGGCAATGGCACATTTTTCCCTTTTTAACTTGAGGCCATGCTGTCTGAACCTCTCTAGCACTGCTCGAACTCTCTGGAAGAGTTGGGGTCTATCCCTGGCCGAGACCAAAATGTCGTCGAAGTAGGGTACTACACCAGGGAGGCCCTGCAATATCCGCTCCATGAGGGATTGGAAAATGCCTGGAGCAACACTTACGCCAAATTGGAGACGCTTGCACCGGAAAGCACCCCTGTGAGTGACAATGGTTTGCAGTTTGGCTGTTTGATTGTCAACAGGGAACTGTTGATACGCTTGTGACATGTCCAATTTGGCAAAAATGTTGCCAGGTTCAAAAGTGTGCAATAAATGTTGAATGACGGGTACTGGGTAAGCACTAACTTGTAAAAAACGGTTAATTGTGGTTTTGTAGTCTGAACAAATTCTCAGGCTACCGTCTTTTTTGAGGGGTGTGACAATGGGCGTCTCCCATTTGGCGAAATCTGTTGGCTCAATGACCCCTTGTTTTAATAATTTATCCAGTTCCGCATCCAATTTAGGCCGAATAGCGAATGGAACTCTACGAGGTTTCAACCGAATTGGGACTGCTTGGGGGTCGACTGAGAATGAGATAGGGGTACCGTTATAACACCCCAGCTCATTGCTGAATACGTCTGAGTAGTCAGCGAATAAGGAGTCAGTGTCAGAGGTTGAGACAGCATGGACTCCTGTTAACCCTAGGCCGAGGTGGGGGAACCAATCAAGCCCCAAGAGTGTGGGGAGGTTGCCGTTAACTACCACTAGAGGTAGGTGGCCTTTGAAAGTTTTAAAATTAACAAGAAACTTGCCTCTGCCGATTACAGGAATGTCCTTCCCCTGGTAGTCCTTCAGGCTAAGCTGGCACTTCTGGAGCCGGTTTCTGGATAGACTGGGCTGTAGTTTCTTGAGGGTGCTCCAAGAGATAATTGAGAGCGCTGACCCCGTGTCAACCTCCATGCTACAAGGTTTACCTTCTAATAAAACGGAGAGAGAGATTTTACTAATGGCATGGCAAGCGTGCTTAGCATGGTGGTGAGTGCGACAGTTCAATACTTGCCTTTGGGGTCCAGAATGTGAAAAGGAAGGGACCCTTTGTGCCGAGTTGTGAGCGGCTTGACAGACTCTGGCGATGTGCCCCTTTTTGTGGCAAATGTTGCAGGTGGCTCCCTTGAATTTGCAGGTGGCCCTCAGGTGAGATCCACCACAGGATAGGCACAGGGTGATGTGCTTGGGTGGACTGATGCTTTCTTGCTTGGCTCCTACCTGCGGGTGTCTGGTGTGGGCGAGGCGGTGGATGTCGGCCGCATCACTGGGGTCCTCCTCGATGACCACCTCTTCAGAGTGGACGGAAACTGCAATTTGTTTGGAAACAGGACCTTGGATCTCGGTGGCTGAGTGTGCTGCCAGCTCCGCTGCCAGGGCTTCCTCGACGGCTTGAGTGAGGTTGAGGTCCTTCCTAGCAAGTAGGCGCCTTTGGAGGTGAAGATCCTTGACCCCGCAGACTAGCTGATCGAGGAGCATGTCATCCAGGTAGCTCCCAAACCCACAATGGAGTGCTGCAGTTCTGAGGGCAGCCATGTACTGGTTGATGGTCTCTTTGTCTGATTGCTTCCTCATTCGGAAGGTGAACCGCCTGGCAATCTGTGAGGGTCTAGGAGAATAGTGGTTAGTAAGGATTTCTAACAGTTCTGTCCAGGGGACGTTTTTTAACTCACGTGGAGCCACGAGTGCTGTGGCAGTATCAAAGACGATGGCTCCACAGTAGATCAGGAAATATGATTTTTTTCGGTGCTCCCCTGCATCAGCCAGCCCAATGGCGTCGATGTAGTGGTTAAAACGATTCTTGTATGACTCCCATTTCTCCTCATCCGGCTTGAACGATGGGAAGGCTGGGTTGGAGTTCATGTTGAGAATCTAGTGGCTAACTGCTATGGAATCTCTCTGGGACAACAATGGAGGAAAGAAAAAAAACTCTTGTGCCTAGGCAGGCAAGTGATTACAGCTCTGGGAAGGCTCCGCACCTCCCGTTCTCTCTCTGGGTTTACACGCGGTAAGCGGCAACGGCTGTTTGGCAGCGCTTTGAATTTGGCGCCTGCGTAGGCGTCAGTGATTTCAAAAGAAACACAGCACCGCGCTGTGATCTGTAAAGAAATTCAAACGACAGCCGTTTGAATTTCACGCCCTTTAGTTTTGAGCGGCTGCGGCTCGCAGCGCTACACTTTCCCTGTAGCTTGCTACCAAAAGCGGCTACAGACGCTTCTCACTTTCGCTTGTCTGCCGACCGAGCTCTCTGACTGCGCGGCTGCGGATCAGCGGGTTAGTGATTCAGCT